TATGGAATAATCACTGGTTTATAAAATATTTGGAAAGCAGAAGTATCAGAGCTATCAATTCAGCTGCAGAGTAAAAGGAGTCCCAATTAACCTCATTGGCTCAGGCATAATGTTTTCCCATCATTTCAGACCATGTGTAATTCCCTTGATTCATGTATCTTCTTGTGTACAATCGATAAACAATCATTGTTTTAAACTAAATGAAATGGGAAAACATTATGCCTGAGCTGAGGAGGTATATTCTTATCATGGTTTACCATGCTGTCTCCTTGTAAACAAGCTTGTGTATGATCTCTGACTGCACGTCGGCCTACTAGGAGCCTGTTTTACTGATATCAATCTGAACTTAGCTCACTGTAGTCAACACTCACCAGATCTCTTTGACTTTTTTCAACAGTTTGTCAGCCTCTCAGCCAAGCATTATGTTGTCATAGTGATGATGCTGTCAAGTTCTAGCCAGCAGATAAATGGCAGACAAGTAAGTAAGTTTAGCTACTTGATATCATGTTAATATTAAGGTACTTCGCATACATAGCAACAGACCCCTTGATTTCCTAGAGGAATTGTTCTGGGGGACAATACAATAGGCCATCTTTGCTTATGCAAAAAAAATCCATTTGTTATGTTCCCAAGAACACTTATTCCTCTTGGGACTCAGTGCAAGGGGTCCATACATGATGGAATATGTGTATCTTGTATCTGATGYTCAACTTGATTCATTGTTTGCAACTTATCCCAGCAATTGGAATTCTCATTAGGGTTCATCCAAGGGTGATCAAAAAGACAATCAAAGTCTTGGTGTAAGACTAGCATTCAATAAGTAATAAAAAATAAATGGGATTTAACAGTGGCAGTTGTAAAGAGTGGCTCTTTATCAACTGAATTCCAATTGGAATTTAGAAGTTGATTTTGTGGAGAGAGGGTGGAGCATCCAGAGAAAAACCCTTGAAGCACAGGAGAAATACAATGAGCAAACTCTACTCACATACGACACAGATATCGAACCAAGGTCACATCACTGCAGCATGCTTACTCCTGTTTTCAAACATCTGATTTTGCCATTTGATCCTATCTCATGTGTGTCAATTAAAAAGGGTTACAGATATTGACAGTTACATTCTGTTTTTCTTTCTAGCTACACCAAGTCTGTCATATTCAGTTATACCAATCTGTTGTGCTGTAAAGACTTATGAGATGATGTAGCACCATCAAGATCAAGTCAATCAGTACTGATGACAGGAATCATCCACCAAGGATATTAACATGAATAACATGGTTTAGAGATTGAAATCTAGAAACATCCAGAAATTTCTAACCAAAAAAAAAAAAAATTTAGCATTTTTCAGAAATTAAAAAATTGGGGAAAAATGAAAAGTTACTACCTCTAGGCCTAGGAGAAAAGTATATCTTGTATAGACAGAAATGTCAAAGAAAAGAC